CTTTCATAAAATTATTAGATGGTATTCGTGGGATTCGAACCCTAGCAATAAAAATCCGACGTATCAGTAGCATACTGCTTTGAGACTAATGCGTTAACCACTATACTACACCGCTCATGTTGATTTAAGGCATTTAAATCATGTTTGTGATATGACCCGCGACTTAATGGACTTGAAGTATTTCTCGGGAAGATGCTAATGTTGTGTCATAAAAGTGTACTTTTAAGGTATAGTGGGTCTTCTCTCCATGTTTTTGAAAACCAAAAAATGTGTATTTTATTGCACACTTTTAGGATCATCTTTCAAAAAAATGGAGAGAAGACCCACCCATATTGAAAAAATTTTGTTCAAGTATGAGAAAATGATCGTTTTTGTTCTTTTTAGTGTGTGTAAGCTTTTTCATAGGCAAATATTTTCAGTCCTTGTAAGATTTTTGTAAATTGTAGAGATTTTACATGAAGTATACTTTAATATTAGATGAGATATGAGATAAAATATGGATATAATTGAGATTATTTTTTTCCCTTCTTATCAGTCGCGCTATAGACATTCTGATCGCCTTATACGCCCATCTTTTTTGTGAATTTTATGGCCCCAGGTCTTGGGCTGTATAGATCATATGGTGAAAATGCATTGATTCTTTGAAATTGATATTCTTCCCTGCTCCTGGGTATTAAACAAACAATGCTAATCAGTGAACAGGTGCCAATAGTAACGAGTTTTCAAAACCAAAAGATTATTTGATTCGCATTTCACCAATGATTTGCCATCACATTTCATTTCTGAATTAATTTGATATTTTCAACTTTTAATTTCTGACATTTTAAAGTTTTCATTTTTTTTAGGTTGACAACTACTTTTCGGTATTGAGGATTTTTCAAATTAGATAAAAGATACATCATGCATAAATCATTGAAATCCCGAAAAGCAAATTGAGTTTTTTGTATATTATGAAGGAAGCAAACAAATTTAAGATTTGTTTTACTTTGGCACATGTACTGTATACGTGTGGTAATAAAATATGTGACATATTTATATGTATTTATTTTAAGTTGAAAATGAATTTGCTTTTTCCCAAAAACAACTTATTTTCGATCCCAAGTCTACGGACGCCTGTTGAGGCCAATTCAAAGAAAGAATTTTTTGGCGTTTAAACGAAATAAAAAATTCTTTCTCTGAATCGGCCTCAATGGGATTCCATACATTTCTACATACTTAATTTACATTATATGGCTGATAATTAACCTACAAAAATTCCGGAATTGTAATAATAAATTTAGGAAAACGAAAAAAAAATGTCGGAAAAGCTAAATGTATCAAAATTCAGACATAATCGAAGTATTGAAAGAACTGAAAGCCGGGCTTTAATTGCTCGAGTATGTTGTCTGATATGTAATTAGTACATATTTATTTTCTCTTTTCTTTTGGCCATTGATTTTTAACAGGTAAGGTTTCTATGATTATGATTTAAACCAATTAAAAGGTCTTGTCATAATGAAAACACCTATGAAGTATAAAATCCTTAACACCAACTGTTCGTTCCTAAGTTATAACAAATGTTATGCTTTGTTTTTTTTTTCGAATATTAAGGTCAAGAGATCATAATTGATATCTAATTAATATGTTATTGAGTATGTATTTTGGTATAAATTCCTACACTTTATATATAAAAAATAGAAAGAAAAGAAAAAGAGCTAGTATAATATACTATTAAACATATATAGAATTCCATTTAACGAGTGTATCTTAAGATGACAGTCGATGGTTACAAGCTCCCTTGTCTGAAGATACTCTCGTCAAAAGGTATTCTATATATTACATATGATCTACACATTTGACATAGTTTAAAGACAGGGTTTGTACGGTGTCAATTTTGAACTGGACTGATAAACTAATCTTTAATTGTATGATGAACTTTGAATATTATAATCAGAGATAAGTTTACGAGATTTCGTGTTCACTTGATCATTTGTAGGTATCCAAAGTATGTTTGGTACGTACACTGAATTTCATTAAGGTTTGTAATATATATTTTTATTCTTATTTTCAATTCACTTTCATTTTTTGACAATATTTAAACTTGTAAGGAGGCTATGAAACGGTGAAAATAACGTACAGGGATGGATGTAAAAAAAATATTGCATGCAATTGAAATTTCTTAACAGGGCATAAAATAATGACCCAGGATTATTTCATGGAGTGAAATCAATTGCCAAGGAAAAGTGTACAGTACTTAGACGGCCATGTACGGTGTTAATGCCCTAATTAATGCTGGAAAGTGCATAAATTACGTATTGCATATGCATGCACATGTATACCGTCATTTTTTGTGAAGTATTTGTTTGACACACTAATTATTGCTACCTCTGAGGGAAAAGGGAGAGGGTTTAAATTGGAAACATGTATATGTACTTTGATATACGAGGGTTGGTGGAAATGTCCTCGGACATATTGATTTAAAAAAAAATCTTTGTGATGTCTTATTTCATTCAAATCCCTTTTTTAAATAAAAAAAATATATTCCTACGCTAGGGGTTATATTTTTTATTAAAAAAAAATAAATAACGTCGGGCAGTTTTTTTATATTAAAAGAAAAAAAGGTAATGTTTGGTGTCTTTGGAGTCATGGAATAATCACTTGTTAAGTGACGTGACAACTAGATTTCAACCCGTTTAGTTTAATCACAGTTCTTGATATCTTTCAATTAAGAAATAAATAACAAGTTTATAAACTTCAATGGGAATTGAAGTCTGTCGATCACGTGATCAAATCCTGGGAAGGCCGGAAAGCTTCTCAGAAGATTTGATCACGTACCGACCCACTTCAATTTCCACTGAAGTTTATATAAACTTGTTTTTATTACTTAAATATACATGTACGTACATTTGAGATAGACAATTAAATACAGTCGGATATAAATATTGCACTAGTCGGTCGCTGTAGATTTCCGACAAAAGTACTAAATGTGTAAACCGGCTTAAAAGGCCTGTTTTTTGTTTTTTGTTTTTTTTTTTTTTGGTTTATTTTGTTTTGTTTTGTTTTTTTTTTTTTGTATTCATTCTTGTGCTGAAGCTATGAAAAAAGTGAAAATAACGAAGTTTCCTTTCTAAAATACAATATAAAATCAAAATACAATGGAACATTGTGAATACTTCGTAATACAAGGATCCAAGGACTTCACATGTGAGGAGGAGTAATATATTTACTTCTGGAAGAAAATTTGGCAGAAAAGTTTGCTAATCTGCACATTTTTAAAATTTAATATCAATGAACTTTAACCTCACTTACATTTTCCTGTAGAATATTTCCTGTTATGATATGCTAGGAATACTGTACACAGGGTTGTTTTCGCCCCGCTTTATTTTTGCCCTTTCATCCTTGCAAACATTTTTGCCCCACTTTAAATTAGGTCAGTTTTGTTAAAGACATTATTCAGTATTCTTTGATTTCGCCCCATTTTGAATTCGCCCAACTGAAGTTAAAATAAAACGGGGGTGAAAAGTTACCTGTAAACAGTATTTAATATATTCTCATCATCTTATTTATTTAGATCAAATTTTACACATTCCCTCGACAAACTATGCCGAGAAATGAACAATGTTTTAGAAGTCATTATAAATTTACACCGTTTTCACCCCTAAATCACATAGGTTGACCAATATTTTTTTTAAACAATATTTTTTTATGAATAAACATAATTGGATTGGACAGCAGGCACTGCCTATATAAGTCCTTTCCACAATACAAGATCAAAATCATACATGTACAAGTAAATAGCATTAATATAACATTGAAAAATATAAATATATACATGCATATATTCAGTAGAAATGTATATGACAAGGCAAATTAAGGAGAACAAAAAAAGAGAAATATATGAGCTGATGATATAATTTAAATTTATATTTTAACATATATGACTGGCAATTATATTAATAATTGTATAAATAAAAAAAAAAAATAAGAAAACATAAATAGGTTTTGGTTCTGTGATTTGACTGTTGAAAAACAAAAGCAGATAGAATATCATGCAAATCGCTTTGTAGTTGCAATAAATTCTTGAACAAGTTTAAATATTGCAATATTTTGGTTGTATGTACCCTGGTAAGATTATTGTCTCCATTTAGAATAATTTGTAAAGATAAAGGCATTGGTAATTGCAAAGTATTAAAGTTTTGTATTAGGTTCTGTCTTTGCATACAGTATTTTGGACAATTCATAAAAATGTGATATGATGTTGCTGAACTAAACCCGCACATGTCACAACTTTTATCTTCCTTTAAAAAATGATTAAATAATTAAGTCAGCATTTAAATTCCTAGCATTATTTCGCAACTGACAATGCAATATATTCATTTTACGACTTCCATAATTGTAATATTTCTTAGGTTTTATGCAGTATGTATTCTTTAAGGCAGTCTTGAATGATGTAAGTGAAGAAAGGTTTCGGATATTAAATGGTAAATCATTCCAAAGTCTTATAGTTGAAGGGAGGAAACTTTTCATAAATGAAGTTGTTTTGGCTTGTGAAATATTTCAAAATTAACCTCACCGACCCCAACTTTTTCTTTCGTTATTTTAAACTACTTGATTCAGCTGATTGACCAGCACTTTAGTAGTTAAAAATTGTTAGAAGAAAATATTTTATCGGTTTTTTTTTTTTTTTTTTATAGATTTTTCAATTATATAATAAAAATGTTTTAGTATGATTTACATTTCTCTGTTACTTTATATAACGGTGTCTAAGCACAGAGTGTGTAATATCATCACATAAATATACTGTTAGCCTTGTAACCTATAAATTAATGATTTAAAGAAAGCAGAGTTTATTGGAAGTATATTTGGTATATTGTACATGTAGTTGATATATATAAATTTAAATTGATTTAATAAACTTGATTTCATTCGATAATCTATTAACGATTAAAATCTTCAGTACTTTAGCTTAAATACATTGTTTGTTTTAGTCTATAAACATTTTATTCTAGATAGACGTCGTAATGAATTCTTTGAGCCTGCTCTTCACAAACACATTGAAAGAAATCGGAACCCAATGTAAAGGTTTTAAAAAGATTTTTGTAAATTTTATCAGTCATTTTTCCAGATTAGTGTTTCAGAAATCTGTCAAAGTTACCGGTGTTAAGTCTGGTCGTCACATTTCCTGTGTGTCACCAGACCGGGTCTGGATCAACGATGGTCAAAATCTCACTCTGACAGATGCATCTGGTCATAACCTAGATCAACTGACAGATATAACTAGTGGTTATGGGATACACACTGTGAATTTTTATGATGATTTAATTTATATAGACAGGGAGAAAAATATCAACAAATTGTCTACAGAGAACAAAGTAAAGACTACATTAATAAAGTACAACACAGCACCATGGAGACCACAGTGTGTTTACAGCTCCCCCTCCAATGGAGACCTGCTGGTTGGGATGTGTAGAGGTACGCGTGATACAGAGAGTTTGTGGAATACTGAGAGAAAGACAGGCAACATAGTGCGGTATAACGCGACAGGGAAAAACATCCAGACCATAGAGCACGACCACAACACAGGTCAGAGACTGTACAGATTACCTAACTATATCACAGAGAACCGCAATGGAGATGTTATTGTGTCTGACGGGGAGCGTTATGCTGTAGTGGTGACAGATCGTGATGGTAAATTCCGCTTCTCCTACAGAGGTCCTCCATCAGGATCAGGACTATCACCATATGGAATCTGTACTGACGCGCTGTCACACATCCTGGTGTGTGATTCTATCAGCGGATCAGTACAGATGTTAGACAGGAACGGTAACTACCTGTAACAGATACGGACACGATTACACAGGATAAAACAGCCACTGGGCCTGAACTATTATGTTAACACACACCTACTGTGGGTAGGGTCAAACTACGATAACACAGTCGACATATACAGAGTGGTAGATAGAGACTCTCTGACCGGTAAGTAACAAATTTATGTAGGTTGTTTATAATACCAATAAAAGATAATAAACTACATTATATGAGGGAGGTAAGTAAAATTTAATACAAAGGATTCCTTATTGAGTAAATAACAAACATCGGCTGTAAAAGATAAAGTTACATAGTGTAATTATTACTATAGAGACATATATGATATATTATCAAAAAGTCAATAAATCAACTTTTGAAATTTTTAGAGATAGCGATTGGATTACATTTTAACGTATTTTCATTTATTAAAATAATACCTTATATTAATATATTCAGTTTAAGTAATACTACATTCAGAACAGATAAAAGGACAAGATAGGGTAACAGCCGAATCTGGCTCCTTATTTGATATAAAAATCAGAATACTTGTAAAATTGTGATAGTTTGCAGTTAAGAAGTTAAAATGATGCTTACGTTAAGACAAGCACTAATTTGGATGCACAGCTTACATGGAAGCCACTAGAGGGTGCAGAAAAAGGATTTTTTCCCGAATTTCTTCAATTCTGGTGAAATTTCAGCATACATTTCTTTCCGGAAAACATAGAGCACAAGCTTGCCTTTCTGAGATTTTTTTTACACATAAATTGTGTATAAAGTACATAAATTTGGTAGATAGGCAAGCGTATGCCCCATGGTTTCTGAGAGAAAATGTGCTGTAAAATTAATGAAAATTTGAATAAAAATGAGACATTTCGAAAATTGGCCTATTTCCTGAACTCACTGTGACCCCTGTATATACTAAATCTAAAACCAACATTTATTTTTTGGCAGGGGTGGCAACAGGGTTTTATGGATAAACTGTTGGATCATTCTGAAAGACACCCATAATCGGGGGCCAAATACTGGTCTTACCCTATCTTGATGTCCTTTATACTGAGTTTGACGATTAGATATAGACACCATTGATATTAACAAAGCTCTGTCCAGTAATATTGTATAAATGTGTACATGTAGCAGCTGTTCAGTTAATGTACGCTGTGTACTTAGCTGACATTTTCGAGCATGGGAAAGTTCAAGAAATAACTCAAATGTAAGATTAAAGAAAACTTTATGACAAAAAGTCACTTTTTACCACAGAAAATTAAGTAAGTGTGAACGCAACTGCAACATCAATTTAGAGACTTGATAGTGAAAGGGAGATTACAAAAATGGATATTAAAAAGCTATTTCATTAAATTTCTCATTTTGTTTATATTCACATATAATAATATAATTTTTTTTTCTAATAAACGTACATGTAAATATAACTAGAGTTGTCTGGACTCAGATATTTTGTCCATTCCAATATCAAGAATATTGAGACTCCGGTTTGGTATAAAAAGTAAGAGAATTAAAATGACTTTGCATAGTGAGGAAATATCAATATTTGTTATTTAAAATATCAATTTTTTTTCTTAAAAGGACTCCCTTTGGAGGACATCAAATGTAGAAAACATCCCAAAATTCCCCTGGACCAGTTTTGTACCCCGTGTGGTGTTCCCTTGTGTGTATAGTGTACCAGGTCTGAGGATCACATCAGACATCAACTTAAAGATATAGAGTTATTGTTTGACAACATTCATTGGAAAAAAGGTAGGTGTTTGAAGCCTCTTTAAAATTCGATATATGTAGCCAATGGACGTGACCTTTAGTGACCTGTGTCAGAAACCGAAGGGCTATTTTCTGATCAATGATGATGAATACCTTCCATTTAATTGTCTGCCTTGTTGCCAGTAGGTTTGTCTGTATTCAAAGTTTTGGAGGTATATTAAACTTATTAAACTTACCTAGTCCATCTGGCTATCAAGCTGTTTATTTGTCTGTCTATGAAACATGCAGGCTAAACTTCATGATGGGAAATAATGATGGATGCTGGATCTGACCTACATCTTCCAGAAGAATCACTATATCAAAGTTAATTGAGCAGGTCCATTGTCAAGAAACTTTAAGGCTTGTCGGAATCAAACTTACCCCCAAAAAACTCAATTTTTTTAGTCAAACGTATATTAAACGTACTGAAACTTATTTTATAGATGAATTTCCTCTTTTTTGCAATATCACAGAACTATTTGTCTGCAAAAGAGTTCCACCAAATTTTTATAAGCATACTTTTGAGCAAACAAAATGCCAAATTTTACAACCACGTAAGAAACCCGCTATACGGGTATATGAAAAATTGATACAATTTAAAGTAAAATTATCATGCCCCACTCCTGACGTACTTTCAGTACTCTGATTGTTTTGTTTTATTCATAGATATCTGAGATTTTTTTCTATTTTGTAGATGGATATACACTTTTAATGGCCCTTCTTATTTCTAATTCCAACAAAATAAATATGAAAGATGAAAATTGGATGAGCAGATATAATGCTGTTGCCAATAGTTTTCATTCCAAGGAAATCACAAAGCCATTTTCTCTTACAGAATTAGACAAATATCAACCAATTTTGAAATTCAAAGATTTAGAGATCAGTTTTACTACTGAGCTCTTCAAAGAAATCAGTTTCTTGAAATTTTCAAACAATTCAAAATTTCTGGATATTTTCTTGACTTGGGCAGAAAAAGAAAGTGTTGCTGAATACTGTAGATCATGGAATTATCAGAGAGTAGAAGATGAAGTTTGCTGTTGGTTGCTGCCAGAAAAAAATGAGGTGTTTTTAGAAAGACTCGGAGAAGATATTTTCATGCACCCAACAATGGAGGACCAGTCATTTCATGAAGCCGTATTTAGAAAATGTAGGTAAACTTTAGGCTCAAGTGACATAATTGTTAGATAGAAGAAGCGAAATATTTTGAGAAAAGACATTTCTCAATAACAGTTTACAATATGAATTTATTTTACGTCCTACCGTGAATACGGCTTGGGCAGGGGCATATAATATTTGTCATGTCCTTACTTCCTTCTGTTCTTCCTTGTCCTTCTGTCGCACTTTGCCTTTGACTCACTGCAAAGCTCAGTATCAAAGATTGATTATGATTGTATATTGTTTAACGTCCCTTTCGAGAAGTTTTCACTGATATGGGACCCCACCACTTGCCGATGGAGAGCTACAAATTTTGTCCTATACTTGGCACTCCGGGCCGTAAAGCAGGAAGGACTTTTTCTCGTATCAGCATCTACTGCGACACGGGACCTATGTTTGTACGGTCTCATTCGAAGGACTGGTCTCCACGTCCCACAGTGGGATTTGAACCTATGACGTAAGGATCAACTCCTTACTTCGCGACTTTAGAACAGACGCTCAAAACACTGCGCCATTCAATGAATAAATCACAGTGTTTTACTGTTGAAAATGTAATAAAAACTATGACACGACAAAGATGATTTAAATCATATGACAAAAGTTTTTTTTCAAGATAATTGCACTCAGCACGTTGACACCCTTTTTTTGCTCACCTGAGCTGAAAGCTCAATTGAGCTTTTCTGATCACATTTTGTCTGTAGTTCCTCTAGCTGTCCGTCTATAAACTTTTCAGAATTTCGACTTCTTCTCAAGAACCACTGGACCAATTTTTACCAAACTTGGTACTAACAAAATATTCTTGAGTAAAGAGACATTAAAATTGTTCAAATGTAGAGCCAAGTTTCCTTCCAAGGGGAGTTAATCAATAAAATACAAAAAGGTTAGGGTCATTAAAAAATCTTCTTCTCACGAACCACTGGGCTGGAAAAGTTGAAACTTATGTGGAAGCATCCTGAGGAAGTGTAGATTCTAAATTGTACAAACCATGACCCCCGGGGGTAGGACGGGGCCACAATAGGGAATCCAAGTTTTATATAGAAATATATAGGAGAAAACTTTTAAAAATCTTTTTCTCAAGAACCACTGGGCCAGAAAAGCAGAAACATGTGTGGGAGCATCCTAAGATTGTGTAAATTTTAAATTGTTCGAATAATGACCCTTCAAGATGGTCAAAGTTAAGATAGGCATTACAAAGGGGGAAATCTGTTAAATGACAATGGTCAAATATACTCAGGTGAGCGATGTAGCCCTCTTGTTTATTTTAAATAGATTTATTTCCTTACGTCTGATGCACAAATCATATTTATCATATTATCTTAAAGAAACATAGCTGAAAAGTATGTCATATATTAAAATAAAGAAACCATATATATATAGATGATCGTATGGAGAATACAATTTTTCTATAAATTTTCCATTTTGTTATGACAAAGGTTTATCTGACTTGGTGATTAATAATGCCTTGCAACAGATTTGTTTATCCAAATATACACGTGTTGACAAACAGAATGATAGCATATTTCTATTTAAAAATGTTACATATACATAATCAAGAATTTGTCGATGGATTATGATATTAACATTTTCGTCTTTATTAGTCGGCATACCAATTCAGGTGATAGTGAGGGGAGGCAAATCTGTGAAAAATTTCGTTGAGAATCTTAAGAGAGGAAAGACAACCATGTACCATGCCTCTGGAATGATAATAGGGTGTGCTGTAGTGGTAAAACAACATTGTTAGAGAGACTGAAGGGAATTGACCTGGAAGAAATAAAGAAAAATATCAGTTCAACCAGGGGAATCGATGTCCACACAGATGTATTTCAGGTGACAGAGAGCATCCAAGGTATTCTTTATATGCAAAGAAGGTTACATTTTACGTTATGTAACAGGGGTTGTAGATCAACAATAACACCTGCGGGTTCGTTTATATATTGGTTTATTATGGAGTCATATGATACAAGAAAATCATAGCCCTGAAAATACAATACATATTCAATCATGATATAACAATAGTAATTTCACATTATAACAACTCATAAAACATCAATACAAAGCATTTGAGGAATTCACAAGTTATTCCCCTTGAATCAGAGTGTTTATAAAATAACATGAAATACATGTAAATCTGATATTAAACATACATATAGAAAATAGATTCTTTATGTTGACAGCATAATAAATAGAAATTATTATTAAATATCACATTTACAATTTTCAGAATAAAATAGTAAATCTGTATTGCAAAAATATATAAATTGGTACCTATTTGTGGAACAAAGCTTGACTCCTAACTTCTTTAAGGTGCAGCAGAGTATTTATAAACAGTAAATAAATAAATCTGGACTCTGCAAAATAAATTTATCTCTCACTCCAAAAATCTCTCATTCAGTTTATTAATTTCAGAAATTAGAAATTATGAATATAAAAGTATTTGATTTAAAGTTATGTATTTTAAAAAGTAAATTGTATGATACTTACAGTTTCTTTGAAACAGTCAGTCAAATTTCATAAATTAGAGATAATTTTCAATAGCATGTAAACTCATGCATAGTCGCTGAAAAAGTGTCTTTGTCTATTGTCCAGAATTTGGAGGTAAAAGTCTTGGCCAATAGGATTTAAGGAAATTGAATTCTACTCAGGTAGCTTATTACAGGTGTAGAAATAGAAAAGGAGTGGATCTAAAGTTTTAGCTGATTGTTTATTTTATTTCATTTGGTTTGTTTAATTTAATTTTTGAAAAGTAGTTTGCTAAATTATGTAAATGAAAGATTTTAATATTTGTTTAAATTATTTGTTTTGTCAATATTAATTGACACACATTTTTAATGCACTTTAGAGTTTAAAATCAGTTGTGGCATATTCATAATGTATAAGTAATAAATTATACATTTGAATATTATAATAATTAAAACATAAAACTAATCACTATTTCATTTATACCTTTTAATTTTAGGTCACATGAGTCACTCAGGTCTTCCATTGCTACTAATATCTGTTTTCGTCTTTCATCATGCGTTGTTAGTTGTCCATTATGTATTAAAATTTGAACATTTTCAGCTTCATCTCTCAAACGGCTGAACCAATATTAGCAAATTTTAGTTTAAGACATTTATTAATAAATTGCACAAAGTCTTTGAAATTCATCAAAATTTGTACAAAGTTATTTTTAACTTTTCTTTTTCACTAGACATCAAGGAATGAAACTGATGACATAATCGTAATAAACATTGAGTCCTATACCAGTATTGTAAAATTCATGGCCCCTGGGTCAGAGGTTGTGGTGCTACATATGTAGAACATGACTTTATAGATCATAGTAAAATTGCATTATATATTTACATTGTATATTATATCTCCTCTCCCCCTGGGTATTACACCAATGAGCCAGGCCTTTTCCGAATTTGGGATTTTCACCGCCCCTGGATCAGGGGTTCTGGTGTTAGAACAAGGCTCTATTAATTATTTTACAATGTATCCCAGCCGCTTGAAAAGTGGGAGAGGAAACCTATATAGTAATTGTTATGTCCGTCCGTCTCTTACGCATTGGGGTACCAATCTTATATCCACAAGTTCTCTTATACTATTGAGTAAAATTTAGTGGAACATTCACAGAATCTTTATTACATATTGCCATTGTGCATCTCCTATTTTACATTTTTTATTCGACACGTATTCTAGGTTTCCCTTAGCAAAACATGGATATCACCATTATATTCTTACCTATGACGCCACATATGGCGACTTCTGAATAACATTTGATACGACGAGTTATTCATCTTTACACATTACCGTAAAGCAAGATATAGCAAAACATGGAGATTATTTGAGGCGAAGGCATCATTTAGTGAGCTCATTGCTCACGGTTCCTCTAGTTGTATAAATTCTTTGAAAATCTTCTCTGCTGTTCCTGTGTATTCAGCCGATGAACCGGAAATATACGGTCTGTAGTCCTCTTGTAAAAGCTTTTACGTAGAATGTTCTGGTTTATCTGCCTGCATATATCTTGACACATGATGCCAAACAAACTAATTCCTCCTTCCATTTGTCTGGGGTTTTTTTTTCATGTTATAGGGTAGCCATCTCGAATCTGCAACTCTTCTTTTATAGCTGAATGAAATTTAACAAGATTTTAACGGAATCTTTGTAACATAGAAGAGTTGTACTTCTCTTGTTTTACTTTGTTGATCGGACACATGTGTAAGACTTTCTAATGCGAAACAGTTACATAATATTAATCATACCCATTTATCGACGACTCCTCCTATACAGTGACTAGAATAAAGTTTAATGATATATTTATATCATCTTTCTTGCATAATGTCATTGAACAGCTCTTACTAGTACGAACACGGATATAATTGACTAATTGTATATTGTTTAACTCCCTCTCGAGAACTTTTCACTCATATGGAGACGCCACCACTTGTCGATGGAAAGCTGCAAATTTTGCCATTTACTTGGCACTCAGGGTCATTGAGCAGGGAGGGATTTTTTTTTTCGTGCCAGCACCTACTGCGACACAGTACCTCAATTTATACGTCTCCTCTAAACGACCGGTCTTCACGTCCCAAAGTGGGATTCGAACCCGTGACGTAAATATTGACTCCTTACTCTAGAGCAGACGCTCTAACCATTGCGAATATAACGAGTTTACAGTAAGTGACAGTTTTTGTTAGATATCCGGCAAAATTTTTAAAAAAAACCTAATAAAATTTACGGTTATAACGAACACAGATATAAAAAAAACTTTGGATATAGCAAATTGATTCTGTATTTCGTAGAAGTTTAAACGAAGGCAATATACATCTTTAATAATGTTTTAGATCAAAAATTCTAAAGTATAGAATTGATATTATTGTTCCTGAGTATTTATATTTGGAATTACTGTACATCCAGTGTAGATTTTGAAGAATTTCTTTTTTTTCAATACTTCCCTGAACATACATGTAGTAGGCAGCCATACATGTGTATCGTGAATTAAACGATTTCTTCCTACAATGTAGCGGAGTAAATTCATAGGTTCCAGGAATTTACTATAAACGACTTTAATTGTACTTATGTCGTAACTGAAAGTACCATTTTATGATTTTATGTATTCAGTGCAAACGAAACTTCTACTTAAAAGACATATTGCATTTTAAGCAGACGGAAACAAAGTGAGAAGATGTTAAAAACAATTGCATTCATTTTCATTTGCAGTTAATTCTTCAAGCCATCAACAACGCTTTAAACTTAGATTTGAAACAAAAAATCTGAAACAGAGTATTTCCGTATATCCAGGGAATGCAGCTGATGATGGCGAAACACAGGAAAAGATTAAGCAACATGTAGTGGATGAAAAGGAAACGTTTGAGGCATCAAATGGTGGACAGATATCATATGATGATACCGAAATTAAAACTGCCCCATCCTATGGACCACAAGGAGCAATATCATCTGAAAATATAGTGGAAATCATTAATAAAAACCAAGATGTTCCCAATCGTTCAAAAATCTCGGGAAATTTGCAAATTGAGGAGAGAAATATTTCAGAGCCAGACAAAAAATTCACCATGTCTGACTTTGCGGGACAGTGTGCCTATTATGCTTCACACCAGATTTTTCTGAGTCCCCGGGCGTTCTTCATTCTGGTGCTGAATATGGAGAGGAAGTTTGATGATAAGGTTGGAGAAGAAGTGTGTTGTCAGGAAGGCTCCGTTTACGGGGGGTGGACACACAGAGGTAAAATTTCAATTATAACATGTATGATAATATAAATTAAAAGGAAAGTAATCATTTCTATTTTATTTTTCAAGAATGTTTTCCCAAATTAAGAAGAACTTTTCTATTTGTTTGTTCTCCTCTTCAGCCCTAAATGAAGGCTATAAGTTTGTTTATTAGAAAGAAAATAGACCATACATAACTTAAAAGAATCATTTGTTGCAATCTATCTAAATGAAAAAAAAATCCTTCTTTTACTGTCATAGCTGAATGTGTCTTTGTTTTTTCAGATTATCTTGAATTCTGGATGAAGTCCATTCATCAATACAGCAGTGATAAGGCTCCTGTTTTACTGGTCGGTACACACAGTGAGAATAAACAGAAGAGGTGCTTTACTTTTGTTTACTGAAAATAATAATATATACATTATGTTATTGGTAGTCAAAATACACCATTAAATCAATTGTTAAAAAATACTCGTAAATTGTCAGTAATAGTGGAAAAGGGGCGTTATTATTGGAAAAAAAAGTGAGGATAATGTAGTACATCTATTGTAAAATTATTTAAAAAAAAAACTTGTTAAAATATGAAAGATAAAAAAAATACAGGCAAATGTCCCATTTTAAATCTCTCTCTCTCTCTCTCTCTCTCTTATATATATTTATTGAAGTATAAATCAAGAAATTTTAATAATTGAAGGCATTTGTTCAAGTGATTCAAAATTAATTTCCACAAAAGAATATTGAAATAAATGCTTTATTTTATATGATTACTTATTTAATTTACATGTTGTTTAGAATTTGTTACATCCGATAGCAAAAAAAGAAAGATGTCTAGGAGTTAAGTTGTATGGTTTTGGTCTTATGGATTTTAGTGTAAAATAGAGCAATGAAGTACTAGTAACTAATTTGGTCCTCCCTCGATTTTGAACAATGAATTAGCTAGATCTATTGCTTAAACCATGTTTTGAAAACAAGCTTACGACAGTAAGAAAACATTTCATGATTATAAACATTGTTTTACCATTACTTCTTTGTACATGTATACATAAAATACTATAAGGTCTTTGTTTTCATTATTTAGATTTATTGTTTTAAAACATATTTTAACTTTGTCATAGATTGTTCATTGTATTGATGATATGCATATGTATATTTAAGCTAGTGTCTCAAGCAAGTATGTATGAACAGACACGAACTATTTCATGATTATGAACATTGGTTTATCATCACTTTGCTTGCATAAAATAAGTCAATTTTTTGTTGAATAGGAGAGGAGTTGTTTTTCCGTGAAGTATGGAAGACTCTGGACGTGAAAAAGAAGTCTTTACAAAAACATATTGATGTGAAACGGCGATTTGCAGTTGGTTTCCATGACAATTTAAGCATTGAAAAACTCAAGCTGTCCATTGCTGATGTCGTGGGCAGGCTTGATCACTGGGGTGAAGTGCTTCCTCAGTCATGGGCTATGTTTGAAACATTCTTTCGAGAAAAGAAAATCCACAAGATTTTGAGTAGGGGTGAACTTGAGTTGTTCAACGAAACATTGCCAGACGGAATAAAGCTCCAAACTGCAGAAGATAAGATTTCCATGCTAGAGTTCTTTCATGACCTCAGAGAAATTATACACTTCAACCAACAATTTCTCAATGAAAGTATTAATCTCGATGTTCAGTGGTTTGCAGATGCATTTAAAAATGTAATAACAGATAAAAACCATGCCAAAGAAGATTTATTCGAATTTGCCTCGGTATGGGACAAATTCAATGAAACTGGAGTGTTAGATGAAACTCTACTCTCTGCTATATGGAGAATGAACAGCAATGGTTACATTGAGCATAAAGAAGATATTTTGCCATACATGGAAAAGCTAGGACTTTTAGCTAAAATGAGTGACAAAAAGTGGTATGTCCCCTGCATGAACAAGATGCAATTTCCAGTAGACTGTTTTTCATCATACCCTGCATCGTCCATCCTCTGCTGTACGTTTGATCTTCTTCCTGTGGAAATTTTCCATCGTCTTGTAGCAACGTGCATGCAGATACCTTGGGAGATTTTTTCAGATGAGGATCGAGGATGCATTTACCAGACAGCGGCGATTTTTGTTTTTCATGACAAGCACCATAACATCATGCTTGGGATGACTCAAACAGAAATACAATTGCAAGTGTTTGTTGCTGAGGGAGAAATTGAAATTCCAACGTGTCACAAGATTAGAGAAAAAATTGAGCATACTTTAAACAATCTTTCCAACACATTTCAGAAAAACTCAGAGATCCATGTTGCGTTCAAATGCAAATCTTTTGGATTTTGTGATAGCAAAGATAGCGTTGTCATAAATGAATCTTTGTTTACAAGAGATAATTTTCAGTGCCCATCGTGTCCAGCAATTAAAAAGCATTCCATCAACACAACAGAAATAACAAAATATTGGAAAGAGGTAATGCTTCTAAGATTAAAAGAAGCTATATCAATATATGCTTAAACTTTGCAATTGCAAATCCATTTTCAATACTAAATTTATATTGCATTGAGATGAAGAAGATTGCAACATTCAATTATTTTATCCATTAAATGCTTTGTCATTTTTTATAAATGTATCTAAAGGTGATACTTTAATATTGTTCTTTTCTTAGTGGTTTCTTTTCCCTGTAAGATCACTTAGTGATATCAACTGAATAAAGTGGATTCTTTTTTCAGGTTAAACAGAGTACTTCCAGCACTTCGATGGCTTCTGGACAGGACATGGGAGGTCGATCAAGATTTGCGAAATTCGGAATGGCAACAAACGATGTGTTAAATAAAGCATTCAGAGACATACTAGAGATGGAAATCTCACCTTCCGACATTGAAAACAAAGTAAAAGCATCACCAGTTTATAGAAAATTGCGCACAGAACAAGAACATCTATTGGTAGATGCTAAACATAACGGATTTAAAAATTTTGATATTTCACTAACATACACATTGATCAGAAACATCTGTAAAAAGATTCCTTTACCAACCAAAGGAAAATGGGGAGAGGAGCCTGCAGCAGGAGAGGTAACAGTGGGTGATGATATAGAGAGAATTAGGTCAATACAAAACGGTTTGACTGCACATGTGAGCTCACCCCTCAGACGGAATTCGATGACACCTGGTCAATGATGTCAGATATCTGCCAAAGATTGGAAACCTTCACCGGAAAGAAGTACTTGGACAGCCTTAAAAAAATTCAAAACTTGACCTTGAAAGAAGAAGATGTTATTAATTTAGAGATATTGCGTTCTCTCGTTTCAGATGTGCAAAAAATTAAAAGAACTTTGAAGATTAAAAGTTAAAAGAATGCAGATTAGGATGTTTTTTGTAACATGCATGTAGGGTGAATTCTTATAAATAGCGCATTGCAGAATTTGGAAAGACGTACATGATTAACTTTGCTGATAGTAAAATAAATTCCCTAGGTAAAAAATCTGAAGATGCTGTAGTAGTTATAAAAGGATCAAAATTAAGAGTTGGCATGAAATGGTGAATGCAACACTGTCATATGTGCAAGAAATCAAAGCAACAGTATTGACGCTTGAAAGCAAGGACGCTAAAATAAGGAGAATTACTCATAGTTACGATGTATTGAGTAACTGAATAACTACATGAACTTTGTATATCATTTCAATAGTCTGTTTTCATAATAAAATAGCGATGGTTTTGTTGGTAGGAATTGATACTTAGAGCTATTGACAAACAAGTTGATGAAACAAGGATATTAAAAGTCGTATTTAAATTCTACAGTTCGCACGTTTATGGTTAACACAATTACTTTGTCAACAAACACAGTCTTTCATTTAGTCGAATGATGACTTGTGACGCTTTTCATACTGATTTAGACCATGATTTAGACAAAGAATTGTCTATTTATTTTTTTTAGTTTGCTTGATTATCACAATGATCGAGTACTCGTCGAAGGGTGATGCTTACTCCTCCACGGCATCCAATACCACCAAATTTTCATTTGTTGCATGTTGGCTTTGCTCCAAATTTTCAATGGATTTTTGAGTTTGATTACTGTTCGTTATAACTATATTTCATTAGAAATATTGAGATTTGTCAAAAAAGTTGATCTATTTCAGTTCCAGAATATTACATAATTTCATTGTTATCGCATTTCTAGAGTCACCGTATACAATGAATTCAAACTTTTTACAAGAACCTAAGAATACTACAAATCCAATAAAAGCAATGGAGATCATGTTTAAGTGAAGGGCAGAGGAAGGTCAGATTTCAAAAATCATTAGAATACAATTTTAAACTCATATTACCTTTGAATTATGTCAACTTTCTTTAAAAGAACTTTCAAAGATTTCAAATTTAAAAATTATTATATATTAACATGTGTACACTACTATTTTACAATTGTAATATGCAAATTTTAATACTTCTAGAACTGAATATTATTTTGTATCAATTTTTTTTTGTTATTAGAAAATTTTTTTTTATGATTTTAGTATTTACACTGTACCATGTTTGGCTTTTAGCCAACCTAAACTGAAGGTTCAAGTGAGATTTTCTGATCACCCATTGTTTGGCGTGCGTCTGTCTGGCTGTCAATTTTGGTCCATCTTGTTCAATCACTGAACTTTCATGATCATGTAGACTCGGTCTGCAAATCTTTAATATATAAATTGTTTACTTTGCGGAAAATCAAGAAATTTCTTCCTTTGAAAACCAGAAAACTTTTTTTACAATGCCTTTATCCTGCCTACCATTAATTAATATTTACATTTCCAATAAATTTCCCCTATGATTCTTTACAAAATAAAATGCAGTATATTTTCTCATGAACTACATTAGGTATGTATCACGAATAAGCATGAATATCTCCATTGTTACGTCATAATACCGCTCTTGACGTCAAAAAGTCAAAAAAAATGTAGTACACACTGTTTTGTTTTAAAAATGACAGTTGAACGGCATAAATTTATGGCAAGTCATCGGAAAAATAATGTAAATATAAGAAATGAATTTTATTTTTTGAAAATTCATGAGGTATATGAACTACAACACTTCACGCCGGCATATTTATCATGAAGCGCTAACGCGCTTCATGAAATATGCCGGCGTGAAGCGTCGTAGTTCATTACCTCATGAATCTTCAAAAATTAAATTCATTTCTTAATTGTCTGACTATCTGGGGTAATGCGCCACATAGTTACATGGAGAGAATCCATAAGCTCCAAAAACGGGCTGCTAGAATTATACTTGATGCTGCCCCTGATGCTCCTTCTAAGGCATTATTTGAAAAATTAAGGTGGCTATCTGTTTTTGACTTAGTAGCTTTGCATAAATGTATTTTTTTGTACAAGATATTTAACAATCAGAGCCCGGCTTACTTCCAATTTATTTATTTCTCAAACTTCTAATGCTTATACTTTACGTTCAGAATCTAATTTTGACCTTCGCCTACCAAAACACAGAACAAATTTATTTAAAAATTCACTTCAATATTCCGGTGTTCATATTTGGAACAATTTACCTATAGATATAAGATATGCGCCAACTCTGCCAATCTTTAAACGAAATGTAGAAAAGTATATCTTCAACAGCAGAACTTTATTACTTTGAATTATGTATATCTTTTGCACAAGTATATAAATATGCATTGTTAAATCTTGCTCATGTGACATTATATTACTTTTTATGTCATATAAATATATCTGTTTAATGTTACTATTTTATTATGATTATCATTATTACATGTGACATTGTGTATATACGTGTATTATAATTCACTTTCTAAGTTGTTCATCTTTGATTATTTGATGTAATACTGTTGTTGTACTTAGAAGGCCCTGAGGAAGAATAGTGCGTCACACTTATCAGGCCACCTTCTCTAAATAAAGTATTATCATTATTATTATTAAACATTTATTTGATTTTATTAGAGATAATGCGGCAAAGGGATTATATACTGGAATGGTTGTGCTTGATCTGCAAAAGGCATTTAACACTGTTGACCATGACATACTTTGTAAAAAAAAAAACTAAAGCAATTGGTGTTCAATCTGTTGATTGGTTTTTATCTTATTTGTCTGAAAGAAAACAGTTTAATTTGTTCACAGCAATGGAATTTCATCAGATGCTGGTATTATCACATGTGGTGTACCACAGGCCAGTATTCCAGGCCCTTTATTACTTTTAATTTACGTTTATGACACGGTAACTAGTGTTGACGCAGATTGTAAACTTATTTTATACGCTGATGACAGTGCCATTTTATTTGCACATGAAGATCCTGATTTTATATCAGAAAAGCTTAGTAAACTTTTAGATAAGACTTCCTACTGGCTTGTAGATAATAAATCATCGTTACATTTAGGTAAAACTGAATGCATTTTTTTTTTGGTTCCAAAAGAAAGCTTCAAAATTTTGAAAAATTCCAGATTGTATGTAATGACCATAAAAGTGTATTTATGTATATAAAGAAATTTATGGGATCTAAATGCTTAAAGTTTTTGTATTTTGATCACCCCACCTTCTGCTCCATTCTGAAATTGTAAAATTTTTAATTTTATTTGGCATTTGTAATGTAATAAATGCTCTATTCACAAACACTCGCTTTATCTTTTTAATGGCTGCAGAACAGAGCTGCAAATGTGCTTCAGGTACATGTACATACGAACTTAGTCGTTTATTATTGCCCGCATTTAAGAGCACATAATTGATTGTAAAGAAAAAGTTAAATATCTTGGAGTTTTGATCGACAAAAGTTTAAGTGGTGCATGTATTGTTGAATCGATTGTCCAGAAAGTAAATAATAGATTGCGATTTCTGTACCGACAAGTCCGGTTTTTATATATATTTTTTTTTTTTGTAAAATGACTCTGTGTTCAGCATTAATACAATGTCATATTGATTACGCCTGTAGTGCTTGGTATGCAGGGCTATCCAAAACTTTAAAGAAAAGGTTACAAATTTGTCAAAACAAGATAGTTTGATTTATTTTGAATTTAGGTCCACAGGCATTTGTGAATTACGAAATACTTAGTCAACTAAATTTATTACATATACAAGATAGAGTTTCTCAGCTTAGACTCAACCATGTTTTTAAAATTTTTCAAGGAAAAGCCCCTTCTTATTAGCTCACCTGAGCTGAAAGCTCAAGTGAGCTTTTCTGATCACAATTTGTCCGGCGTCCGTCTGTCTGTCCATCTGTCTGTCTGTAAACTTTTCACATTTTCGACTTCTTCTCAAGAACCGCTGGGCCAATTTCAACCAAACTTGCCACAAAGTATCCTTGGGTGAAGGGAATTCAAGTTTGTTCAAATGAAGGGTCACGCCCTATTCAAGGGGAGATAATTGGGAATTAATGAAAATTTGGTGGCATATTTTAAAAATCTTCTTCTCAAGAACCACTGTGTCAGGAAAAATGAAACTTATGGGGAAACATCCTCAGGTAGTGTAGATTCAAGTATGTTCAAATCATGACCCCCGGGGGTAGGGCAGGGCCAAAATGGCCGACCAAAGTTTTACATAGATATATATAGGAATATTCTTAAAAAATCTTCTTCTCAAGAATGTCAAGGCCATAATTCATCATATTTATATGGAAGCATGCTCAAGTAGTGTAGATTCAAGTTTGTTCAAATCATGACCCCCGGGGGTAGGACGGGGCCAAAATGGCCGACCAAAGTTTTGCGTAGAAATATATAGAAAAATTCTTTAAAAATCTTCTCAAGAATGTCAAGGCCATAATTCATCATATTTATATGGAAGCATGCTCAGGTAGTGTAGATTCAAGTTTGTTCAAATCATGACCCCCGGGGGTAGGACGGGGCCAAAATGGCCAACCAAAGTTTTACATAGAAATATATAGGAATATTCTTTAAAAATCTTCTCGAGAATGACAAGGCCATAATTCATCATATTTATATGGAAGCTTGCTCACGTAGTTTAGATTCAAGTTTGTTCAAATCATGACCCCGGTGGTAGGGAGGGGCCAAAATGGCCGACCAAAGTTTACATAGAAATATATAGGAAAATTCTTTAAAAATCTTCTTCTCAAGAATGACAAAGCCATAATTCATCATATTTATATGGAAGCATGCTCAGGTAGCGTAGATTCAAGTTTGTTCAAATCATGACCCCCTGGGGTAAGGGCGAGGCCAAAATGGCCGACCAAAGTTTTTAAAGATATATACGAGGGTTGTCCAAAAAGTTCGTGGACAATGACGTTTTTGTCAAAATAAATGGTTCTATATGCATCTATTATATATCAAAATTTTTCTTGTGAAAAACCAAGTCAGAATGGTTTAATTTTTATTGATGGAACTTAATATTTCCGTAAAAATCGGGGTCTTTAAACAT